GTACACGGGTGCCGGGACGACCAAGTACGGCGAGAATATGCGATCGGAGTCGGGCGCGGAGGCTACTGTTGAGAAGTATCCGACGGCCGATACGACTCGCGAGAGCGAACAGCCGACGCGTGCGTACAATGCGTACGCGGGTGCGGACACCGGAGCTTACAATGCGTACACGGGTGCCGGGACGACCAAGTACGGCGAGAATATGCGATCGGAGTCGGGCGCGGAGGCTACTGTTGAGAAGTATCCGACGGCCGATACGACTCGCGAGAGCGAACAGCCGACGCGTGCGTACAATGCCTACACGGGTGCGGACACCGGAGCTTACAATGCGTACACGGGTGCCGGGACGACCAAGTACGGCGAGAATATGCGATCGGAGTCGGGCGCGGAGGCTACTGTTGAGAAGTATCCGACGGCCGATACGACTCGCGAGAGCGAACAGCCGACGCGTGCGTACAATGCCTACACGGGTGCGGACACCGGAGCTTACAATGCGTACACGGGTGCCGGGACGACCAAGTACGGCGAGAATATGCGATCCGAGTCGGGCGCGGAGGCTACTGTTGAGAAGTATCCGACGGCCGATACGACTCGCGAGAGCGAACAGCCGACGCGTGCGTACAATGCCTACACGGGTGCGGACACCGGAGCTTACAATGCGTACACGGGTGCCGGGACGACCAAGTACGGCGAGAATATGCGATCCGAGTCGGGCGCGGAGGCTACGGCGCAGAAGTATCCGACGGCCGATACGACTCGCGAGAGCGAACAGCCGACGCGTGCGTACAATGCCTACACGGGTGCGGACACCGGAGCTTACAATGCGTACACGGGTGCCGGGACGACCAAGTACGGCGAGAATATGCGATCCGAGTCGGGCGCGGAGGCTACTGTTGAGAAGTATCCGACGGCCGATACGACTCGCGAGAGCGAACAGCCGACGCGTGCGTACAATGCGTACGCGGGTGCGGACACCGGAGCTTACAATGCGTACACGGGTGCCGGGACGACCAAGTACGGCGAGAATATGCGATCGGAGTCGGGCGCGGAGGCTACTGTTGAGAAGTATCCGACGGCCGATACGACTCGCGAGAGCGAACAGCCGACGCGTGCGTACAATGCCTACACGGGTGCGGACACCGGAGCTTACAATGCGTACACGGGTGCCGGGACGACCAAGTACGGCGAGAATATGCGATCGGGGTCGGGCGGGGAGGCTACTGCTGAGAAGTATCCGACGGCCGATACGACTCGCGAGAGCGAACAGCCGACGCGTGCGTACAATGCCTACACGGGTGCGGACACCGGAGCTTACACAGCGTACACGGGTGCCGGGACGACCAAGTACGGCGAGAATATGCGATCCGAGTCGGGCGCGGAGGCTACTGTTGAGAAGTATCCGACGGCCGATACGACTCGCGAGAGCGAACAGCCGACGCGTGCGTACAATGCGTACGCGGGTGCGGACACCGGAGCTTACAATGCGTACACGGGTGCCGGGACGACCAAGTACGGCGAGAATATGCGATCGGAGTCGGGCGCGGAGGCTACTGTTGAGAAGTATCCGACGGCCGATACGACTCGCGAGAGCGAACAGCCGACGCGTGCGTACAATGCGTACGCGGGTGCGGACACCGGAGCTTACAATGCGTACACGGGTGCCGGGACGACCAAGTACGGCGAGAATATGCGATCGGAGTCGGGCGCGGAGGCTACTGTTGAGAAGTATCCGACGGCCGATACGACTCGCGAGAGCGAACAGCCGACGCGTGCGTACAATGCGTACGGGGGTGTGGACACCGGAGCTTACAATGCGTACACGGGTGCCGGGACGACCAAGTACGGCGAGAATATGCGATCGGAGTCGACACCGGAGGGGACAGCATCTCAGCGTGGGGAGCGTGAATGGAAGTCTAAGAGAGGCGAGTTTGAGCAAGCAACTGAGTCGGAGGATGAAGCCAAGATGGAGAAGGATAGGAAAATGATGCGTGCATTTGCTCGTGACGTCGCTTCGTAAAGTCTCTGGGTCCCCTTTTTGGTGGTGTTCTCAGTCATCATCGTACGAGATCGAGCAAATGTTGGCTTCATTGAAAGGTTAGCAGAATTGACTTCTAATCATGGTGACAATTTGTCCCTTGCATTGTTAGTATTCATTTTTTATTACAGTAAAATTGAAAACAGCACGGAAATGCAGCTCGGATTATAACTAAGCATGTGAGCTAAATTTCTACGAATACTGCCACGGATTTAATACTCCTTTCGACATCTCACTTCCATGCAGGTATCTACAGTCTTGTGTATAGGCAGACATACTTTGACCGGTAGATTCCGTAATCCATAAAATTCGATGACCCAAAACATTTTTTGCCTTGTCGAGCATCACGAGTACTCAAACAAGTGGATTAGACCGTGATCGCTCGTCCTAAAACAATCTCTGCATCTGAGACGAACACCAAAACGTGAAGCTGCAATCAACAAATTCGTTATCTCCAAACTCCAGATTGTGTCGCGATCTGGAATTTAGATTTGCATCCTTGTTTGTATTCGCGCTGATCACTCGCCGTGCCTTCATTCTCGATGCAGAGTGCATGCTCTTCAAGCTCCTTTGGACGTTTTTCACTTGCATCCTTGATGATATCCATTCGTCCTTCAGTCACTTAGCAATCTTCCGTGTCGACAACACCACATCCAACCCCCTCAAGCAACAATGTCCAGCATCCCCACGACGTTCAAGGCCTACCAATTCGCCAACTACAGCGACGCTCTCACTGAGACCAAGTTAAACGCGGCAGTCCCACAGAAACCACTGGAGCCCAATCATGTTCGCATTAAGGTACTGAGTGCCGCAGTGAACCCTCTCGACTACAAGCTGCACTACTTTGGCTCAATGGCCATCGCACCCCGGAAAAGCCTCTCGGAATGGGTATGGACTTGTCGGGCGTTATCGTTGAGGTCGGCAGTGGCGACGTGCGCGGCTTTAAGGTCGGCGACGCCGTCTTCGGCTCGGCCGACATGCAGTGCATGGGAAGCTTCGCAGAGTACATCACTCTGGAAGCCGACCACATCGTCCACAAGCCGAGTAACATCACAGTCAACGAGGCTGCCGGTGTATCGATTGCTGGACTTGCCAGCTACCAGGGTCTAGTTAACCGCGCCAAGGTACAGAGAGGACAACGTGTGCTCATTCTGGGCGGTGGCAGTGCTGTTGGACAGTCTGGCATCCAGATCGCCAAAGCTTTCGGAGCTGAAGTCATTACGACCGCCAGTTCTCGTAACAAGGAGCTAGTCAAGTCTCTTGGAGCCGACCAGGTGATCGACTACACTTCGGAGAAGTGGGTCGACGTCCTCGCCGAGCATTCCGTGGACATTATTTACGACTGCGCCGTGGAGTCCGAATCTTGGTCCACCGACGCTCAGAAGATCCTGAAGAAGAACAGTGGTCAGTTTTTGACTATCGGTGTTGTCGAAAACCAAGCGGACTCGCCTATCGGTGCGAAGCTTATTCAGTATTACTGCCACCCTATTGCGGAGGACTTGGAAGGCCTTCGCAAACTGATCGAGGACGGCAAGCTCAAGACTACGATCGACTCGGTCTACCCGTTTGACAAGCTGCTGGATGCTATCAAGCACCAAATGTTGGGTCGTGCACAGGGCAAGATCATCATCGAGATCGCAAAGGAGTAATTTTGCTGACAAGGTAGCGGATGAGACTCATCATGAACAACACATTGCGTAAACGTAAATTTCACCGCTTGCGTTTATAAAGAGACAATCATAATTTATACTTACGTTGAAAAGAAGAAACATTACGCCAGTGTTTTACAAGTTGATTTTATCCATGTTAGACATTGTTAGCTCATGTTTGGACACTACGCAACAGCTTGTCATCCCGGGAAGTGACGATCATCGAGAACGTTCTCTCAACACTTCATCAATTTTGCTGCTTGGAGTCCGAGATCAAGTTGGACTGCAACATTCAACAGCTTTTTATATTACAACCGCCGAGAGCAAACCATGGGGGAAATGCGTTAAAAATTGTCAGCTCCTCATGCTCTCTTGGCGTAGATAACCCTGCAGGCTAACTTCTTTGTACAACGATTCGGTGCTCAGGTCACGAACTGCAATGATTCGTCGGCGGCGTCACTTTTGCACCTCCCAAAAACTTCAATATCCACTTCAGACCCGCCGGAAGAATCTGAAGTTTGACGAGAAGACTGGCTATTGGTCGCTTTTCTTGCTTCTAGTAATTATCTATTGGTCAAAACCTTGATTATCAGACATTCTCAGAAATCGTGAAAGGGCCGCTTGTCCAAAGTTGTAATACTTTCCAAGAGGCAACACGGGTGCAATTTACGCAGGGCACTTTGAGAAACTCCACATTCCGCTCATTTGAATCAGCTCTCACATTTGAATTGGCCACACACCACAGCGTTTCGTTCTAGAAAAAAAAACTGTTGTGACCATCACTCCACAGCCTGTTGCCTTTCTTTCAATCGACGCCACTTCCCAATTTGCGAGCGCTCCGACACAAGCGAAAGGCAGCCATGGCAGAAGCGCATCAAGCCATCGGCGTCTTCGACGAGCACAAGCGCGGCGTGGAGCTGCTGTACTCGGACGAGGGCATCCGCATCTCGTTCACCATCCCTCCGCCTCACGAGATCCGGCGCAGCGTCGTCCGCGAACTTTTCCACCTGCAACGAGCCGCCAAGCGTGGCGTGTACCCGGCGCCGCCGTTTGTAGCCATCTTGACAGTGGTAGCGATTTCGGTGATCGTCGCGTTTTCCCCTACCGAATCCTGGTGGCGCAGCGGACCCATCTCGGTGGTCGTGTGGCATGTTGGCAACTTCCTCATGCCCTACTGGCACTTGTTGCCCAACTCGATCTACGTGGCGTATCTGGCTGCGTGGGCGGCCTTCCTGGGTCTCTTGTTGCTCATGGCAGTGCAAAGACTGTTCCTACGTCTACTTCTAAGCTACAGAGGCTGGTTATACCTCGCTCCAAGACAGAAGAGCCGCGTGGTGATGGCCTGGGCCGCTTTGTTGAAGGTTTTCGGTGGCCGTCATCCTCTGACCTACTCTTTCCAAGACGCTCTACCCAGACTACCCTTGCCACCTCTCAAAGACACCATTCAGAGATATCTTAAGTCAGTACATCCTCTACTGACTTCAAAAGAGTACGAGGAAGTGGAGCGCATGGCCGACGAGTTCGTACACAAGGAAGGCCCGAAACTCCAGTTCTACCTGTACCTTAAGAGCTGGTGGTCGTCCAACTACGTGACGGACTGGTGGGAGAAATACGTGTACCTCAAAGGCCGCTCGTCTCTCATGATCAACAGCAACTACTACGCTCTACCTGGAGCCAACCTCGACTTCAGTCTCACTAAAAAGCCTGTTGCCTTGGCCGCCGCTCTGGTGCACGAGTTCCTTCTCTTTAAGCAAGATCTGGACAGAGAACACCTCGCCCCGCAACTTATCCGTGGCATTGTGCCACTCTGTATGAGTCAATACCAACGCATCTTCTCGTGTACTCGCATCCCAGGCCGAGAAACAGACACACTGAAGCTGTATCACCACAAATCCAAGCACATTGCCGTGTTCTGCCACGGCCGCGTGTTCAAGATGCCACTGTTTGAAAAAGGTCAGTACGGTAAATTACTTACCAAGTTTGAGATCCAGCGGCAATTCGAGTGGATTGAAGCCACGGCCTTGGCCACAGGAGCTCCCTCTAAAGCGGAGGAGAACTTGGCTGCTCTTACTGCCGCTGGACGTATTGAATGGGCGGAAAATCGCGAGCAATTTCTGTCTAGCGGCGTGAACAAACGCTCATTGGAAGTGATTGAGTCGGCGGTGTTCGTCGTGGTGCTGCAGAATGATGTAGCCAAAGACTGGACGTCGATGGGCAAAGATCTGATTCATGGAAATGGCGGTAACCGCTGGTTCGATAAGTCCTTTAACCTGGTTATTTACAAGAACAGTGTTGCGGGTATCAACGCGGAACACGCATGGGCTGATGCTCCTGTGATGGCTCATGCGTGGGAACAAGTTTACACAACACAATGTTACACGATCCCATACGACGATAACGGAGACACATTGGTGCAGTCCGAAGACGAGCGCGAGTCAAAGATACCGCCATGTAGAATGTTACAGTGGGACTTGTCCACAAGTCTTGAAGGCGCTGTACTTAAGTCACTTTCAGATGCCGAGAAAGCCATCAGCGACTTTGACCTGAAAGTCATTTCGCATACGGATTATGGCAAAGGGTTGATCAAGAAGTTCCGAGTGAGTCCTGACGCCTTCATTCAGATGGCACTGCAACTTGCGTATTACCGTAACTCGGGAACAATTACGCAGACGTACGAGTCCAGTATGACGCGGTTGTATCGTGACGGTCGGACAGAAACTGTACGACCAGTGACGGATGAATCGAAGGAATTTGTACTCGGTATGGTGGACCCTAAACTGTCCGATGCTGAGAAGTTGAAGCTACTGCAACAAGCTTGTGACGTCCATCAGGACAGCTACCGCAACGCTATGAGCGGCAAGGGAATCGACCGGCATTTGTTCACATTGTACTGTGTGTCGGTGGGTTTCGGCCTCGAGTCGCCCTTCCTGAACAACGCACTTAGTCGTCCGTGGCGACTTTCGACGAGTCAACAGCCGCAACAGCAAACAGACAACTGGCGTCTTGTTGAGAAAGCTCTGGAAGGGACGCAGTACTCTATGGATGATGCACGGTGCCCTGGCGGTGGCTTTGGTCCTGTCGCTGAAGATGGCTACGGAGTCAGCTACATGGTCGCAGGTGAGAATATGCTCGGCTTCCATATTTCCAGCAAGAAATCGTGTACGTCTACTAGTTCAGACAAGTTTGCTGAAGATATCGAGCAAGCACTTGCCGACCTCAAGGCGCTGTGGCACCCCAAGGAGTAAATTACGAGCATAGCAACAGTGTTTTCACAGATTTTAAGAGTGAATGTGTTTTTGCCATGCAATTGGATAGAAATGGCAAAAGTGCACATGGTTTGTTTTATTTGCATCAGAAAATTGACGTTTGTTGCCATTGCGAGAAAATCAAAGTTTTCTCGTTGGAAATCTCCACGACGACGGTTGGACATCTGCAGCTTGATGGCGTCGAGAAGCTTCTCAAACGGGTGCACTGAGTCGATAGTAGGTTTGACTTGACCTGCCTCGACCAACTTGGACAGGCTTTGAATATCCTCCGAGTTCGGGTGCAAGAAGAGCTGGTGGAAAGCTGCACTGATGGGAGACTCGATAGGCTTCGATCCCATGCCGATGGTCACGAACTTGCCGATGTTCTTCTTCAACACCTTCTGAGCGTCTGTGGCCCACGACTCGGGCTCCACGCCGCAATCGTAGATCAAGTCCACGGAATGCTCAGCAAGTACAGTGCCCCCACTTCTCCGACGTGTAGTCGATGACCTGGTCAGCACCGAGCACTTTAACGAGCTCATTGTTGCGAGGACTGGCCGTAATGACTTCAGCACCAAGTGCCTTTGCGATCTGGATGGCAAATTGTCCAGTAGCGCTGCCGCCGCCCAGAATGAGCACACGCTGACCGGCCATTTGGCACACAAGCCAAGCAATGTTACATTCAACGAAGCTGCTTGTGTACCCATGGCGGGTCAAACCAGCTACCAGGCGCTCAACAACCTCGGAAAGCTAGAACTTGGCATCAATGGCAAAGTATTCGGCGAAACTACCGCTAGCAGTGATGTCCGGTGTGCCGTACACAGCGTCACCAACTTTGAAGCCACGCACGTCACCATTACCGATCTTAACTACGACACCAGCCGTGTCAAAGCCCATTCGCAAGGGATTTTCTGGCGTCGGACCCGTCGGCAAGAAATGAGATCCGAATAGAAGAAGCTTGTATTCGAGTGGATTGATAGCGGCGCTCACGACCTTCACACGCACCTGTGTGGACTCCAAGGGCTTCTGCGAGATGGTGCTGAGCTTGGCTTCCTCGAGCACATCACCGTAGTTGGCGAACTCGTAGGCCTTGAACGTGGTGGGGATGCTGACCATTGTGTGATGTGGGGAAAGTAAATTGAAAAGTGAGTGAACTTGCCAAGTTCGATAGTTGCCGTTGTTGCGTCAACTTGAAGCGAACATGCACTCTGCAAACAGAAATGAAGGTGTGCATCAAGTGATTACTGCGGACAGCGGACACCACTTTACATGTGCAAAGAGACCGTGATCGTCGTTAGCGGAGCCTAAGTTGATGCACGTTTGAGCGCAGCACAATAGGATTGCGTGAATTACTCTCACGCAATCCTTCTACGAACGTAAAAATGGGAAAGTTATAAAACAATTCTGATAATGAAGTACAAGTACTATACACAGGACAAAACACCATTTGTTGCTGTTTTTTTCAAGCCAATCCCATCTGGATTGTCATCAGGATATAGCGTGATGTTCAATAAAACCACGGTATTAATAGTAGCACGCTTTTGTCATGTAAGTAGTCTTGCTTCACCCTACTTATTATTAATAGTCCTTTTGCTCCGCCGTGCTCATAAGGCACACTAATTGACATGCGCATTCGTTTTGGTGTCCTCGCAGTAGTATTTGCGTGTATCGGAAGTTTGTGCACAACTGATTGTAAGGCGAAGTCCATTGATAGCACCAGCCTCCACGGAGGATTCCACGCGATAGGGATCAACAAGCCTTCCTCCAGAAGTTATGGCATGAGTGATTTGGCTGCGAAGGGCAGCGCGATCGAAGAAGAGCGGACGGGAAATATCGATCCGAAGGTGATCCAGAAGCTCTTAAAGGCAGACGACATTAAGGCCGCATTAGACGACTACGACAAGCAAGTGGCCTTGTTTACGAAGTGGATGGCGGATGAAATGACGACGTCAGCTATCCTTGGTAAGCTATCGGAAAAGGACAAGATTATCGAGAACATGCCGATTCTTGCGAAATTCAACGATTTCCGAAGTACTTTTAGGTACAACGAAAAGCTGACCGACTGGCTTGACACTAAAACCCTCGACGATATAATTGCAACACTGAAGGCTTCAAAGACAGAACCAATGAAGCTGAAATTCACCGCGATGTACAGGAGTGGGGTAACTCCTGACGCCTTTGCCGCGGCAATCGCGATGGTAACAAACGCGAGGAGACAGTGATGGCAGAAATGGATTAAAGGCGCCTTTATGGCAGTTTAGGCGAGTATAAACAATTCTATTTCTCAGGCCGTTTCGCAAACAAACGGCTGTTCTGTAATGCTGAAACTTAGCGCAACGTTTCTACAAAGTTTCAACCGTCAATTCAAAGTTTTAACAGAAATGATATTTTTGAAAAGGCGAGATTTTTGCCAATCACAGCTTTTCACGATAATCAAATTGATTGGTCAAAACTCTCAGGAAACGAAAAAGCACAAGTCAAGACCGGGATAATGGTACGAAGTCGTCGCCTGTGTTTGTGTCTCCTGTGTTAGTTAATCCCCGTTATTATATGCGCGCAGCTCTTCTACTCGTTCTTTAAGACGCTGGTCGGCAAGGAAGTGGCCGTAGAGCTCAAGAACGACGTCGCGCTCATGGGTGTGCTCGACTCTGTGGATCAGTATCTCAACATCAAGCTCCTCAACGTGTCGGTCGTGGAAGGCGACAAGTTTCCGCAGCTGGTACCTTACAAAACTTAAGACACTTGTCTCGCAGCCTCTAACTCCTGGTGTATCTATCTAACACTCGCAGATGAACATGAAGAACTGCTTTATCCGCGGAAGCTCCATCCGCTACGTTCAGATCCCGGCGGGAGAAGTGGACACAGAGCTTCTACAAGACGCGGCACGTCGTGAGGCCACCGCCAACAAACAGAGCTAGAGGAGGACACAGGAGATAGTTGGAATATCTTAATAGGACCAGAATCCTTTGGTTCATAGCATCCACTATGTCTCCTGCAATCAAGCCGACAGTCGATGATCATTGTTGTGTAAGAGGAGTCTGTTGCACAGGTTTTGCTGGATGATGCCAGTCGGATGATATAGTTTTTGGTTGCGTAAGACGTTGGCGAAGGAGCCGGGGCTAACGAGAATAAAGCTTCAATCGACGCTGTGGTGCACAATGCACCTGACCTACCTGTGTCGTCACACGCAGTGCGGGAAAGTTGCACTGAAGAAAGTCTTCTGCTTAAAAACAGATCCGAATTTTATAAAATAAACTTATTGCCTTGAAATTTAAGCTTTCAAGGCAATTAGTTTAAAACACAATTTCTTCTTGTCACCTTTACTAAAATTGAAACATCTCAAATCGACTAAAGGCACACAAATAACCCTGCACGACGCGTTCAATTATTTTGCTACATTTACCAGCACAGTTTACCGGGGAGGTACTTGTCGATGATATCCTGGTAGTACGGCCACAGCTTCTCCACGTCTGGACGCACATCTGCCTTCGTGTACAGGTCGAACTTGTTGAACTCGAGCACCCAGTCCAGCAACTCCTCGTCGTCTTCGCTCATCAGGTGCTTGTACTCCTTCTTGTTGTGCCACGGGTAGCACGAGTGGTAGCGGATCATCGCCAGACCTTCCTCGGGGATAGTAGTCTCGTTGAACTTGAGCATCTGGTACAGATACTCGTCGTGGCCCCAAGCGAACTTGAGGTTCTTGAAGCCACAGTGCGGCTCGTACATGCCAGAGTCAGTGCTGTAACGCGAGTCGCTCATGTCCGGGTTGGTGGAGTTGTACTCCGGGAAGACAACCGAGTCAGGAATCTTGCAGCCTACAACCCACGTGTCTCCTCCCAGAGCCCACTGGTCTCCGTCAGCGGTGCCCTCCTGTCCGTCTTCAGGGTGACCCCACAGGTACTGGATCTTGCCCATATCGTGCAATAGACCGACGAGTTGGAACCAGTCCGGGTGACCGGCAGTACGGATACCCTCCGCAGTCTGTAGCATGTGCTCGAGGTTGGGCAGTGACGAGTCCGGGTCGGACGAGTCCACGTATCCCTTGAGTGCCGCGAAAGCCTCCCACACAGTCATCTTGGTGTTGGAGAAGGAGCCGTACTTGGCCTGCATCTTCTCCTGGAAGGCTACGGTCTGGTTCTTGCGCATGAGTGCGTAGTGGCGAGTGACGAGAGCGTGTCTGTCCGAGTCTTTGTAGTTGCGGAATTCCTCCTCCGCCTTGCCAGCAGTGACCTTGCCGGTGACTTCGAGCGAGGGCTTGTGGGCGGCGACGGTGTCTCCAGCCATTGGAATGAAATGGTGGTGAAACGTAGAGAGATGTCGGGAACAACGGCAAAAGAAGAATGAGTTTTTGGTCTAGCTAAGCTGAGCAGAAGGAGAAGAGGCTATCGAGGGTGTTGATTTCCCGAATGATGAGTCATTGAACACCGTGTCGTTGGTTTGCTGACCATGGCCGACCGCCGGGATCTCGTCATGAATCGTGAGGCTGTATTCAGGCCACAAAGCGTTGAGGTACCACACTACTACGTAGTATGTATATACCTGAAAGTTTCAGGCTGAAATCCAGGGATCCAAGTTGGGATTCCCAGCTTTCCCAAGTTGCCAGCTCGCTGCCGCAGTTCTCTCAGCTCCTCCATCTTAGTTAAGCTTAGCGAGCTTTGTCGAGCAGTGAACGCTTTGATATAGTACTGTAGCTTTTACTTACCGGTACACACTTCAACTACACCGTAAGTGCGCAAACTTGAAGTTCAGTGTACCCATCCCAAATTTGGAAACATGAATTTCCCGGCGATCGCGATATGGTGGCAGCGCCGAATGTCGCTCTGTTGCGTCTGGAGACTCTCCAGTGGACTCCACTGTGGAGAGTACGCACGTATTAACACATGTAAGCTTTTTGCAGGAAGCATCTGCGCAATGCACACAGCACACTGCCATGCTGCGTGTCACTGACTCAATGGTCCTCTTCAATGATTAAGATGACCAACTTCAAACACACATCTCACGAAAAACCAGGCAAAGCTTCAGGAGCAGATTGTGAACTTTACGAAGAAGTTCTGTCGTCTTGGAGGACATTGAAGACGTAATTGAATGATTAGAAACAACTCCACGGAAACGACATTGTCATCACTGTTTAACGCATTCGATGCTTGTCGTTGGAATCAGCAAAACTGCAACCACCAAACGGGAGCTGATTTGGCCAACCAGTTCGTACAGTTTCGGATTACCCTCGATAAAAGGCTGGAGTCTGGATAGGATGTGATTGTTAGTTTACCGCCACACCTCCGACTCTTTCGCTTCAATTTATGAGAATTGCTCAGCTGAAACACGACTTTTGTTTTCATTATTTTTAGGCACTCGTTATCTAGCCCGACTGGGTGTGAAAGAGTCAGGCTACATTGCCCGACCCAACCCGACGGATGCCCGACTGACCCCGACTAGATAAAGGTTCAGTTGTGCAATCACAGGAAACGCACTCCAAGTATACGTGTCCAGCGCGTATACACGGATATTAAGACTCTGAATCTGACGAAGAGGTCAGAGCATTCAATGTACTCCGTTCACAGCGGATCCAACTTAGCACTCAAAAACGTTTTTAAAGTAAAACGATTGCTAACTTGTTAGGCTTACGCGCACATGCAGAGGTATCGATAGCGCAAATACTGTAGTTCCTTTCTGTTCAGGTAGCTAAGTCCGTCGGCCCCAGCAAACACTTCAAACGCCAGCAAGACATACATCCCGCAGTTAAAACTGTCGACCTGAACGCCTAGATTTCCACGATAGGGAGAGACACGATACTTTCGTGGGGCGAAATTTGGCAGCTGGGTCACTATCTTCTCAGTAAGCGCTCGGACTCCAATCATGTATGTAGAAGCCATTGGGTCGTACACGACTGCCTCTGTGCGCTCCACATCCACCATAATACCACACCAATGGTTCTTGTTGCAGCATACAGGGATCAGAATTTTCTCGGTCGACAAGTTCTTGAACATGTCCGCGAATACCGTCATCGGGACTGAGACAGCACCATGTTCCATTGGACCGATAACATTTGTATCCACAGTTATAATACTGGCTTTGGACTCGAAGAGCGAGGACATAACAAAGCTAATAGTATCGTCACTTAGTTGAGTTTTCCCAATGAGGTCCAGTATTTCCGCCCTAACTCACATTACGGAAAGTTAGCATGAGCTGAAACGATTTTGTACAACGACAAAATACATACCTTTGATGACAGCAGGGGGATAGCCTTCAGTTTTGCTGGAAGAATGGACTGCTCTGTGACTTGAAACGACTGCGGCATGGTGACATCGAAATCAATACTCTCCGCCCAACTCAGACCTCTCTCGATAAGTTTAATGGATTTTGTAGCTGTGTGCCATTTCTTCATGATACCCATCGTTCGTGTTGAATACAAACCAATCCCAGCAATATCCAGCACCACACCCTGTTCGCGTAGTCCTTTGTATTTTGCCTGCAGTTTTGCGACTTTTCCACTGCATGTTCGAATTTGTTCGGGACGTAAAATTCTCGTTATAGAGTCCGATTGTATAACCAGCTTCGTTGGTGGTAGGCTGGATACGGTTCGAGCTGTAGGCGCCTTAAACTTGAAGCTTGTGTCAACCATCTTGAACTTTGTGAGAACAGCAGCCGCGGATTCGTATGTAGCGTCGATAGATAACACACTTTCAACTGTGGCAAGGCTTAAATTTGCCGCGTAAAGTTCCGAGTCTTCTTTCGCCATATCAACAGCTTTTTTGCGGGCTGCTTTCTTGGCTTTGGGGGTTAACTTTGGCCTTCCTCGTGACCTCGGAGGACTTGCGATTTCAAACGGCGTGTCCTCTGCAGCTGCCTCTAGGGGCGCGTTTAATGGAATTTCATCGTTAATTAGTAAAGCTCCACAATCTCCACGTGAACTCTCATTGCCTATACCGCTCGATTCAATCGTTTGTGAAGACTCTCCAAGCTCTCCACAATGGCCCGACTGACCCGACTCATCCGACTGCCCCGACTGACCAGACCGCTCTGACAAGTTTGCTATGTGATTATCCTCCTCTCTTGCCGTTGCGAAAGCTGTGACTTCTTCGTCTGGCTCGGAAACGCATGTAGCTGGTACAGATGTGTCTGGTAAAAGCTCCTCCGGATCGGGCTCGCCCACGGCTCGGGTAGGATCTTCGAACTCACCTCTCTTGAAACGACCTGCCACTTCTTGAAGGTACTGCATGGCATCTTGATACTGTGCCATACCAAAATTTATCGGACCAAATGACCTTATCGGACCTGTACCAAAACTAGGGTACGCTAAATAAAAACCCTCAAAATCAATTTATTAGTTTATGGATTAGATATTGTGGCCCACACACTAAACATTATTATTACAGAAGGCGGGGAGCGAGATGGCGAGGGGCGATGACGGCGGCGGCACGTGTGACAGGAGGGTGGCGACAACGGCATGCAGCAGGAGGGTGGCGACGACGGCATGCAGCAGGAGGGTGGCGGCGGCGACAAGAGGGGCAACACCAAGGACAGGAAGGACAACAAAGACGGAAGGAGCGAAGGGGACAACAACAGCGGGCGGATCCTCAAGGGCTGTGGTGGCTTGCCCGGCAGGGCGGGCGGCAGGCTGCCCGTTGGGTGCGTGCCTGCAGGTGGCACTCCGAAGGGCGGACTTCGATGGTATCGTCGAGTCATCCAGCTATCAGCAGCGAGGATGCCGCCGCCAGGCCCCGTGCAGACCCCGCAAGATCTATTTCCCCACCCGGCAGGGCGGGAAGCATGCTGCCGGCCGATAGCCCGCTGGCGACGCACCAAGTCCAGATGCTT